GTTAGGGTTAGTGTTATGAGCTGCTCTGAGAGGTACTGGTCCACCACACTCAGATGCTGATAGATAGGTTAGGGTTAGTGTTATGAGCTGCTCTGAGAGGTACTGGTCCACCACACTCAGATGCTGATAGATAGGTTAGGGTTAGTGTTATGAGCTGCTCTGAGAGGTACTGGTCCACCACACTCAGACGCTGATAGATAGGTTAGGGTTAGTGTTCGGAGCTGCTCTGAGAGGTACTGGTCCACCACACTCAGATGCTGATAGATAGGTTAGGGTTAGTGTTCGGAGCTGCTCTGAGAGGTACTGGTCCACCACACTCAGATGCTGATAGATAGGTTAGGGTTAGTGTTCGGAGCTGCTCTGAGAGGTACTGGTCCACCACACTCAGATGCTGATAGATAGGTTAGGGTTAGTGTTATGAGCTGCTCTGAGAGGTACTGGTCCACCACACTCAGATGCTGATAGATAGGTTAGGGTTAGTGTTCGGAGCTGCTCTGAGAGGTACTGGTCCACCACACTCAGATGCTGATAGATAGGTTAGGGTTAGTGTTATGAGCTGCTCTGAGAGGTACTGGTCCACCACACTCAGATGCTGATAGATAGGTTAGGGTTAGTGTTAGGAGCTGCTCTGAGAGGTACTGGTCCACCACACTCAGATGCTGATAGATAGGTTAGGGTTAGTGTTAGGAGCTGCTCTGAGAGGTACTGGTCCACCACACTCAGATGCTGATAGATAGGTTAGGGTTAGTGTTATGAGCTGCTCTGAGAGGTACTGGTCCACCACACTCAGATGCTGATAGATAGGTTAGGGTTAGTGTTCGGAGCTGCTCTGAGAGGTACTGGTCCACCACACTCAGATGCTGATAGATAGGTTAGGGTTAGTGTTAGGAGCTGCTCTGAGAGGTACTGGTCCACCACACTCAGATGCTGATAGATAGGTTAGGGTTAGTGTTCGGAGCTGCTCTGAGAGGTACTGGTCCACCACACTCAGATGCTGATAGATAGGTTAGGGTTAGTGTTCGGAGCTGCTCTGAGAGGTACTGGTCCACCACACTCAGATGCTGATAGCATTTCTGCTTCATACCATGCTTGCTCTATTAGCTGCTCTGCTAACATGACTATTGGTGATGATCAGTGCTCCACTGTGGCCTTTAGCTGTTCCTGGTGTGACACTGTGAACTGGAGTGCATACGCTGGCACATGCTTACATCAGCAATTACACAGGCATTCGCCATGTTTTTAGAAAGTGATCATTGCCCCGCTTCTACTTCACTAGCAGCACATCTGATGCTGGATCAGGAGATTATTTCTTAACTTTTGATCCAGCATCTGTTTCTCTCACACTCTGCACTGTTCACTTCCATTAGCTTCATGAAAAGAGGTGTATCTGGTCCCATTCTCCCACAATGAGCTCTCTCCAGGTCCTGCTAAAGCAATATCAGTCTCTCTGTTATCTCACAGCATCTGTAGGGTACAGGGTATTGGATGGCTACTAAACTGTGAGATATGATGTATGATGAGGGTATAATGTGCTGCTCTGTTAGCCTAGCGGGTAGCATTTACAAGATAATAAAGTCATGAAACATTTATATAAAAATAGTGTGTTAGTAGTTCACTTTTAAGGCTTTTGAGAGAGCACAGAGCTTTGTAGAATGTTTGTAGTTATCAAATATTACACCATTTGTGCAAAGGAATGACTAAAAAAGATGACCAAATCTGTTGAATCTCATTTGTATGTGGTGATATATTAAAAAGAAAGCCAGAAGATTAAAAAAACAGCAGCTGCCAATTTTAGAAACAAGATTGTATATAGTCAGGGCCTGTTCATTTATTAATTTCATATGAGTTTATTTCATAAAAGTTTATTAGTGATCTGTTGAAAGTACATTCTTTGAATTCTGTTTAATGTATGCAGAAAGGCTCTGTCAGAGGGGTAGCCCAGAGTGAAAAATCTGTATATCATTTACTGATCATGATTTAATTAGATTATAATTAAATGATAATAATATATTAGAGTAATGATATAATAATGTATTAATTACTTTAACAAAATCACTTTGAAGTGTTTTTAACCTAAACTGACAATTAATTCATGTAGATTTTGTAGATGATCCTCTCACATAAACCAGTCCCCACAGAAGCGAGACTGAAACACCTGGAGTTGGCTAACCTCGTTTAGATTTCTTTCCTATTGTCATCAATAATGACTATATGAATATAGACAGATCCATGATAAATTACATAAATGGCATTTTTAACAGATCAGTTATATTCTAATCATTTGATGCCTTACGATAAATAAAACAAAGAATTTGCTAAAAAAAAAAAAATTCTCTGTTTGTGGCTCAGTCTTTCCAGAATTTTCATTCTAGTGCACCAACAGCACATTTATTTAATTCAGTTTATTTTATAAAGTAATATAAATAACTAAATATTATACTAATGTATAAATATGAATAATTAAAAACCCTATTAATTCATATCTTACTTTAGTAAAAAGACACATTTTTAAAATAGATTGCCAAATTGTAATTCTATTATTGACCAATACCCCCAATAGGGAGCTAGAGAGTGCCGCACTTTTCCGGAACAATGTGACTTGTGGGGACGGCAATACTCTGTGTGACCACCAGGGGCGCCTAGATATACACTAACACAGATTTTTGTCTTGAAAATGGCCCTCATGAGGACTTCAAAAAAAACTACATGGGGCGTGTCCAAACACTGTTTGGGAGGTGCCTGAGGGGCTTTGCCCGTGGGGACCTCTATTTAGGTCCCCACGGTGACACGAGTCCCCACGAGTCTGTGTGCGTTCAGGTTGAAGTCCCCACTGGGATAGAAAAACAAGAACACACACACACACACACACACACACACACACACACACACACACACACACACACACACACACACACACACACACACACACACACACACACCTAATCCTAAACCTACCAACACGCACACGTTTACTTAGCTATCTAAATGGGGACATTCCATAGACGTAATGTTTTTTATAGTGTACAAACTGCATATTATCTCCCCTTACACTAACCCTACTCCTACCCATCACACACACACACAAACCCTAATCCTACCCATCACACACACACACACACTAATCCTAATCCTAAACCTACCCATCACATACACACTAACCCTACCCCTAAACCTACCCATCACACACACACACACACACACACACACACACACTCTAACCCTACCCCTAAACCTACCCATCACACACACACACACACTAATCCTAATCCTAAACCTACCCATCACATACACACTAACCCTACCCCTAAACCTACCCATCACACACACACACACACACACACACACTCTAACCCTACCCCTAAACCTACCCATCACACAAAACTTTCTGCATTTTTACATTTAAAAAAAAAAACTTTAATTACTTTATTTTTATACCAGATTTACAAATGAGGACGTGCCTAAATGGAGCTTTTTAGAGATTTTGGTCACTTCTGGGTACAAATTTGTCCCCAAAATATAGTTAAGTAGGTACACACACAGTAATATATTGTCTAGGCCGGCTGTAGTGTGCACTAATATTAGCACAAAAAGGTAGTAGGATCTAAGCAAACAAAACAGCTTCAGTTTCAGTAATATGCATCACACTTTGACCAGTGTTCGTCACAGACACATGACGACACGTATGCAAACACACCATTCCTTTACTGAGCTTTGATTATTGCTTTCGCAGCAATTACGAGCATATAATGAGTCTTATCAGCAGCAATATAAGTCCTAATGATTTAGAAACTACTGCGTCAGAAATTTCCATGTACAAAACCTGATCATAAACTTGTCATAGACAATTAAAAAACCCTGCAAGAAAAACTTCACAGATACCCAGGAGACACTAAATTGCTAACCATTAGTAAGAGATAATAACAGCAAATGCATGCTTGTATTATGTAAATGTAAAATGCAGGTCAAAGGATGTCAGAAAAATAAATTACACTTTTACCCGAAAGTGATAAACATCAACAAATAAGGTTAATTTAGGAAAGCTTGATGAGTGGCCATCATAAATAATCTGTTGGGTGCGTTTTTAGTTTCCGTGTGTTGCAAAAAAATGACAAAGACTTCTCATTACGAACATGTTATGCTTTAATCTTATTTTAAATGGTTTTCAGTAATCAGTTAGCAGCATATAGCTTAGACATTTCTCTTTCAGGTCACTGAAAAACAAACCAACAAATCAGCGACCCTTGAAATGCACCTAAACTACCAACGTGAATGAATCATATCCTATAAAGTGCAGTGTAAATGTGGATACAGAGTCATGTTTTTTGGTTTTGTGAGATTCAGCCCTGCTAAATTACAATTGAGACCAGAATAAATGACCAGATCATTCCATTTGCTGGTGTCAAAGTATGTTTGAACACTTTCATGCTGGTTTAAGCTCATCTACTGGTTTACAATAAGCTTGTACACACCACCAATGGCAATCGAAAACAAGTTAATCTTGGAATTTATGCTGGTCTAAGTTGTTTTTTCCCAGTAGGCAGATGAACTTCATGGCCAAAAGTATGTGGGCACCCCTTTCTAATCAATGTGTTTGGCTTGTCTAATAATTTTAAATCTACAATGACATTCTGGAAATGTTCAATAGTTTTAGAGGATGCTTGTCTTATTTTGCCAAGTAGCGCATGTTCCTGGATCAAGATCAGCCAGGTTTCAGATTTCAGATCAGATTTTAGGAATAGGTCAAATGATTTGTTTAGGGTTTGGCTCAACAACATTCTCATCAGCTTATAATTTCACTCTGATTTGAGCCATCATTTTTTTTTAGTAAAGTTTGGGTTTAGGGATCAAGATATGACAGGACAGGTACACGTCTTAGTTAGAAAAAATACACAAGGATCATCAAAGAAATGTGGAAAAGCTTGACTGGCTGCTCAAAGTCTAGCCCTGATTATCTTTGGGATGAACTCAAAACAATGACTCCAGGAAAGACTAATTAAAATAAACATTCAACAAGCACGTATGAAGTTTGGGTGCTCACATACTTGTGTCCACGTGGTGTATGTGGGATGTTGTTATATGCTCAGACATATATTGATAAGGAAAACTGATAAGGTGAGTCTGATTTGACCTCTTAAGACAGTGTTGCCAAATAATGACATTTCCTCCAAATGCCGCCATGACTGGATGTCTCGTGGCTCTGGCGTCAGAGAGTGTCCTTAGCCAGAGAGTTCAGTGTGAAGTTCCTTATTCTTACGGACTTCTGCAGCATGAATCTCCTGACGAGAGAGAGAGAGAGAGAGAGATTAATGCTCTATAAATAAGAACTGTTTTTGCTGTGACCAGAAAGGAAACTTAATTCTCTTTTTTATTGACAGTAAAGTACATTTGTGAGCCTGTTACTCCAGAAAAACAACATGCAATAGGAAGAGTGGTAAAATTCAAGCCCATAGTTCATCATTTCCTAAAATTCAAGATAAAATTGTATTCCTAGCCCATTTTTTCTAGACTTTATTTTAGACATGAACTGTTTTTGCTCACCAGCCACTGTGGCTAGTGGTTTTCTAAAGTTACTAGCCACTCAGGATTTTCACTGGCCACAATTTTGACATCGATGCCATAGGGAAAAACTGCCATATAGATATTTTTAATATTATCTCATAATTTGGTATATTAAGCTGCCGTAACTTTTTTCCCCACAAATCCATTATACTGTTTTATATAGCCAATATACTTGTCTCTATGTGCTGCATTGTGGGTGTAAGCACAAAATCTCCGGAAATGGGTAAATTATCCTCAATCCGCGCAATCCCTCGCCGCAATTCAAGCCCTGTAACACCAACAATATTAATTCAGAGCAAATGAATCGAGTGAGTAAAGGGATGCGCAGCTGGTATTGTGTATCCTGCGAAAGAGTTTCAGATACGTATCAAAAAATCATTATTTTTGACAACACTAGATGCCTTTTTAAAAGACTACAATTGAAAAATGTATATTATATAAAATTCAACCCGCCAAAGTAGCTAGTAGGAGTGACTGTGTTACACACCACTGCTAAAATACACCGCATTTGGCGGGTGTTAATGTTAAGCCCTGGTTGGATCATAAAAGGTTTGTTTTTCAAACAAATGCCACTCCGGTAGATCAAACAATAGAGCACGGCGCTAGCAACGCCAAGAATTGGTTCGATTCTCAGGGAATGCATGAACTAACAAGATGTATACCTTGAATGCCATGTAAGTAACTTTGGATAAAAGTGTCTGCCAAATGTGTAAATGTAAAATAGATTGAGTTTGCTTTGGATTTTATGGATCTACTCCCATCACAAAACACGGGACCTCCAGAGCATCTACACACATTTTCTATAGAATAACATACAGTAAAACCAGGAATATGGATTGAGACAGAAAGACTATTTCATGTCTCACCTTCTCTCTCAGACGCTGCTTGAGGGCGTTGAGACGGGCCATGCGGTTTTCTTTGATCAGCTCCATTTTGTGTTGGAGTTTCTCCTCGGTTATCTTGCTGTAGTTGTTGTTGACCTCCTGGGCCTTGTTGAGCACCTCCTTCTCACGCTCCCGTTTCTCCGCCAACTGCTTCAGGACCTGCTTCTCTTGGGACTACACAAAGAAGTGTAAAAAGAGTACAGTAGATGACACGGCTAATGTGAGACAGTGAAGAGTAGCTTCTCTGACATTTAAAAAGAGGCCAAAATGTGGGACAAAGTCATGAAAACATCTCAGCAGTGATGACGTACAAAAGAGGACTGTGTTGGTTATCAGATGGCAATGCAAGGGTACTGACTGATTACCATATTCATATCTATTCACTATAAAGACCATAAGAGGTTCCATGGATGTTAAGGCCAGGATCAAAAAATCTCTTCTAAGAACGCGTAGGTAATGTTCTCATTAAAGCCCTTTGGTGAAAATCCAGCTTTTGATGTTGTTTATGTGTCTATGTGGTGTTTTTAATACGCTTTAAGACACACCATGTGTAAGTTCATAAGTCGACAGCATTGCTGAGTATTTTCTGCTTAAAACTGCAGTGAACCAAAGACAGTCTCAAAAACACGGTTTGAAATCGCTGGTGTTTCTGACGTCACAAACGACCTTGTAACCAATCAGATCAACGTGTGATCGCCAACCAGTGGATCTCTGAGCTGAGTGAGTGAGTGGAGGCGGGGCTCATTTGCATATTCATAGAACCGCGTATAGTAAATGAGGCGAGGGTGTCGAGTTACATTCAAGATATTTTAAGGCATGAATAAATGTTTTTCCAAGGAAAAAACGTTTTAATTTTTTTAAAATTTCGGTGATCAAAGATTAGTTTTAAGGGATAAAATTATGGACTACAGGGGGACTTTAAGTAAATGTTCTGTAGAACGTTCCCTGATACCTGGGATGTTTATCATTCATTCATAGATGCCAATAAAGAACCAATAAAGAATAAAGAACTCTTCATTCATCCGGATAGATTTTTGCTTCAAAACGCTCTCCATCCACACTAGCGTTTCTGAGATGATACAGAGAGAACAAGACGTGATCCAGTTATCACGCAATTCTTCTGGCAGGATCATTTTCATTTAGCAAAATATCTCAGCATTCACTGATCGTCCAGGTCTCACTCACTCACCATTATATGTTTGGTCTAAACACAACTTCTCTCATGTTTAACCGCAGGACAACAAATGCAAGAAACTTTTCTGTCATCTTTGCAGGACTGTGATATGAAGAGTGTGTGAAGTAACATCTTTATCAACAGTGTGAAAGTGTATAGCACATAACAGGCACAATACCAGTATAAACATGAATATCTATTGGTACAATATATGACTAAATTTATCATCGTTTTTAAATACCTTCATTTTCACAGGTACAACGCGAAAGTGGCGTTTTCAAATGTATCCACTTTATAGAGCGTTTTCAAAAAGCGTAGTTTTCGTTGCTAAAAACGTTGTCTCAGTGTGGACGAAAGGTCAAAACGGAGAAAAAATATGCATTTTCAAACGAAACCGTATTAGTGTGGACATGGCCTGAGAGTGTGAGACTCTCAGTTACCCATGTGCTCGTGCTTTTCATGAACGTGTCTCAATGGAAAAATGCATCGGCTAAATAATTCAATGTTATTCTAACCAGCTGGATGTGTTGCTCACGAAACATCCTGTTGATTAACTAGTAAGTGTCCAAAAAACATGGTTCAATCTTGGTAGTGTAAACTTGCTGCGTCCCAATTCGTCCTAAAAAGTATTCGAAATCAGAATTAGTGTGTCCCAAATCGTAGTATGTAAAGATTCCCGCATCGTCTACTTTTTCCGGTTAGAATCCGAAGTGCAGATCCGTGCTAACGGCTAATATTACCCACGACCCATTGCGCTGTGGAAGAGGATTCGGTTAGAACTACAAACACGAATAATATGTTTGAAAAAACTACAAACATGATGGATGTGCGTGACCCACGGTTAAGCAGAGCGGTTAAGATAAAGAGGGTTGAGTGTTTAATAATCAGGAGCCTATCTAATCTGACAAAAATATATTTATTAAATGTTATCCAAATTATATTTAATCTAAAACAGCATTGTGAAACGTTATAAAACGATGCGTTTGGTCATTAACTTGAACAGTGACAAGATGATTGACAGGGCAGTTTAAACAGTGACAGGATGACCGTTACTAAGTGGCAGAGCGTTCCTTAAAGATGCTATTATGACGATGCATACTCTTCTGCTTCACACTAAAAAGTATGTACTTCTTCTTCTCAAAAACAGTACATACTTTTAGGGCATAGTATACGTAGGAGAATTGGGGCGTAGTATACGTAGGAGAATTGGGGCGTAGTATACGTAGGAGAATTGGGGCGTAGTATACGTAGGCGAATTGGGGCGTAGTATACGTAGGAGAATTGGGGCGTAGTATACGTAGGCGAATTGGGGCTATTGGGGCGTAGTATACGTTAGCGAATTGGGGCGTAGTATACGTAGGCGAATTGGGGCGTAGTATACATTTTACATTTAGTCATTTTACATTTACATTTACATTTAGTCATTTAGCAGACGCTTTTATCCAAAGCGACTTACAACTGAGGACTAAACCAAGCGAGTCATCGTGAAGAGGCAAAAGCAACGCAAGAAGTGCTCAAAATACAAAGTTCAGACATAGCTCGGAGTAGCATAAGCCAGGCAAGCGAGGATTTAGAGGAAAGGATTTTTTTTTTTTTTTTTTTTTTTATGTTAAGTGCTCCCGGAAGAGATGAGTTTTCAGTTGTCTTTTGAATGTTGTCAGGGATTCTGCATTCCGGATGAGGGTGGGGAGATCATTCCACCAGCATGGAACCGTGAATGAGAATGTTCTGGAGAGTGATTTTGTGCCCCGCTGTGATGGTACCACGAGCCGTCGCTCATTGACCGATCGTAGGCTTCTGGTAGGGATGTAGACTTGTAGTAGAGAGTGGAAGTAGGAGGGAGCTGAACCTGTGGTCAATCTGTAAGCAAGCGTCAGAGCCTTGAACTTGATGCGAGCAGTGAGTGGTAGCCAGTGCAGAGAGATGAACAGAGGAGTGACGTGGGCCCTTTTGGGCTCGTTGAAGACCAGACGAGCTGCAGCATTCTGGATCATTTGTAGAGGTTTAGTTGCACATGATGGAAGTCCAGCCAGAAGAGCATTGCAGTAATCAAGCCTAGAAATGACCAGGGCCTGGACGAGAAGTTGTGTTGCATGCTCAGTTAGGAAAGGCCTGATCTTCCTGATGTTGTGCATAGCAAACCTGAATGATCGAGCTGTCTTTGTAATGTGGTCTGTGAAGGTCAGCTGATCATCAAAGATTACTCCAAGATTTCTGACCGACCTTGATGGGGTGATTGAGGATGAATCTAGCTGGATAGTGAGGTCGTGCTGTAGAGACGGATTGGCAGGGAGGACGAGAAGCTCAGTCTTTGCCAGGTTGAGCTGCAGGTGATGTTCCTTCATCCATGCCGAGATGTCCGCCAGACAGCTTGAGATCCGTACAGCTACTGTGGGATCATCTGGTTGAAATGAGAGGTAGAGCTGGGTGTCATCAGCATAGCAATGGTAAGAGAAACCATGTGCCTGTATGATAGGTCCCAGTGATGTGGTGTAAATGGAGAAGAGGAGCGGTCCGAGAACTGAACCCTGAGGAACGCCTGTGGTCAGTTGATGTGCTTTGGATACCTCACCTCTCCATGTGACCTTGAAGGACCTACCTGTGAGATAGGACTCAAACCAGTTGAAGGAGGTTCCAGTGATGCCCAGTGATGAGAGGGCGGACAAGAGGATCTGATGATTCACAGTGTCGAAGGCAGCAGACAGGTCCAGTAGAATGAGAACTGATGATTTGGAAGCAGCTTTTGCGACCCGCAGGGCTTCCGTGACTGACAGCAATGCAGTCTCAGTTGAATGTCCTTTCTTGAAGCCAGATTGGTTGACATCCAGCTGGTTGTTCAGAGATAGGAAGGATGATACTTGGTTAAAAGCAACTCGTTCAAGTGTTTTCGCAATGAATGGTAGGAGAGAGACAGGTCTGTAGTTCTCTAGAAGTGATGTGTTTAATGTTGATTTTTTAAGCAGAGGGGTTACCCGAGCCTGCTTAAATGCTGTAGGGAAAATGCCAGTGTGGAGGGATGAGTTGATAATGTGTGTGAGAGCTGGTAGAAGTGTGGGAGAGATGGCTTGTAGAAGGTGTGAGGGGATGGGGTCTAGAGGGCAGGTGGTAGGATGACTGGAGAGGAGAAGTTTAGATACTTCTTCCTCGGTTAGTGGAGTGAAGGAGGAGAGAAGGTTATTGGCTGTGGGAGAGGTTAGTCTGGGTTCCTGTGTTGAGAACTGACTGCTGATAGTGGTAGTTTTGTTAGTGAAGAAGTTAGCAAAATCATCAGCAGTTAAAGAGGAGGTGGGTGGTGGTGGAGGTGGACAGAGGAGAGAATTGAATGTCTTGAACAGTGAACGTGTGTTAGAGGCGCTGTTGATCTTGTTGTGGAAATATGAAGATTTTGCGGCGTGAACATCAACAGAGAAGGCAGAGAGCAGAGATTGATACCTACTGAGGTCAGATGTGTCTTTTGATTTGCGCCATTTCCTCTCCGCTGCCCTGAGCTTGGTCCGGTGTTCACGAAGAACCTCAGATAACCAGGGGTTAGAGGGAGCGGTGCGTGCTGGCCTAGAGGAGAGAGGGCAGATATTGTCTAAAGAAGAGGTTAGGATGGAGCATAAAGTATCCGTTGCAGTATTCACATCCAGAGATGAGAAATGTGAGGGTGAGGGAAGAGAAGATGACACAGCAGAGGAAAGATGGGATGGAGAAAGTGAGCGCAGGTTTCGTCTGAAAGTAAATGGTGGGGAGGTTGGTGGAGCATGGGTAGTGAGTTGTAGATTGAAAGTAATGAGGAAATGATCTGAAACTTGGAGAGGTTTCACCAAAATGTTGTCTGTGATACAGTTGCGTGTGTAAACCAGGTCCAGTTGGTTGCCTGACTTGTGAGTACCGTTGGTGATGAGCCGTTTGAGATCGAAAGAGGCTAGGAGAGAGATGAAGTCTGTTGCATACGGCTTCGCTAGGTGAATGTTGAAATCGCCAAAGACTACAAGTGGGATGCCATCCTGAGGGAAAGAGGACAGCAACACATCCAGCTCTTCTACAAAGCTTCCCAGTTGACCTGGGGGGCGATAAATAACTACAATATGGATCTTCATGGGAGTTGTAAGTGTAATAGCATGATATTCAAATGAGTTGTTATTGCATAGAGAAGAGAGAGTTGAATATTTCCAATTGTTAGAAATGAGAAGACCAGTGCCCCCACCCCTCCCCGACTGGCGAGGGGTGTGAGAGAAAGAGAAGTTGTTAGAGAGAGCAGCAGGGGTTGCTGAGTCTTCTGGACGGATCCAGGTCTCAGTCAAGCCCAAGATATTAAGAGTAGAATGAGATGCAAAGGCTGGAATGAAGTCAGCTTTATTGACTGCTGATTGACAATTCCATAGACCCATAGAAAGAGTGAGAGGTGAGTGTGAGGATGAGAGAAAAGGGCGCAGATAAGCAGTATTGCGCTGCCTTCTGTGCGTGGTGAGAGAGCGTTGTCGAGAGACAACAGGAATGTGTTGAAAGCACATAATGATAATGGGAAATAAGATAAAGGTAGGAAAGGGAAGGGTGTAGAAGATACTTTAAGTGCCTTGCAGGTGTCCTTGCTCGGTGGAGTCGCGCAGGTAGAGTCGCAGGTCTTTACCCGAGTAGGTCTTCACACGAGGAGGCTGAACACGAGAGCTGAATGCTTCCGCTGACGCTTCCGCGACAGCGCGCACACTACATAGAAATAATGCTATCAATCGTCTGAGTGAGGACAGCTGTGGTAGTCCTTGCAATTAGCACAGCGAAAGCAAATATCCCGACAATGGCCCAAATCGAAACTAGCTGTTATGAACAGCAATACTTAAGTGCTACAATAACAAACAGACTACAACCCTTAAGACGGCAGATATTCAAAATAGGAACGCGACTAATTAAAATAAAGATATTTAGTGAAGATAAAAATTACAAAGAAGCAAAGAATCGAAAATAGCCCTACTTACTTGACAAATGGTAAACAGAGCAACAGGAGAACTGGATATTAAGAAAAAACAACTTACGCGCTCTTGACGTTCTCGCCGAGTGACTGCTTGTCCTGGCTTTCACCTGAATTTACTTCTAATTTATATCTGCTTTAACAGCCCTTGCAATTAGCACAGCGAAAGCAAATATCCCGACAATGGCCCAAATCGAAACTAGCTGTTATGAACAGCAATACTTAAGTGCTACAATAACAAACAGACTACAACCCTTAAGACGGCAGATATTCAAAATAGGAACGCGACTAATTAAAATAAAGATATTTAGTGAAGATAAAAATTACAAAGAAGCAAAGAATCGAAAATAGCCCTACTTACTTGACAAATGGTAAACAGAGCAACAGGAGAACTGGATATTAAGAAAAAACAACTTACGCGCTCTTGACGTTCTCGCCGAGTGACTGCTTGTCCTGGCTTTCACCTGAATTTACTTCTAAATTATATCTGCTTTAACAGCCCTTGCAATTAGCACAGCGAAAGCAAATATCCCGACAATGGCCCAAATCGAAACTAGCTGTAGGCGAATTGGGGCGTAGTATACATAGGCGAATTGGGGCGTAGTATACGTAGGCGAATTGGGGCGTAGTATACATAGGCGAATTGGGGCGTAGTATACGTAGGCGAATTGGGGCGTAGTATATGTAGGCGAATTGGGGCGTAGTATACGTAGGCGAATTGGGGCGTAGTATACGTAGGCGAATTGGGGCGTAGTATACGTAGGCGAATTGGGGCGTAGTATACGTAGGAGAATTGGGGCGTAGTATACGTAGGCGAATTGGGGCGTAGTATACGTAGGCGAATTGGGGCGTAGTATACGTAGGCGAATTGGGGCGTAGTATACGTAGGCGAATTGGGGCGTAGTATACGTAGGCGAATTGGGGCTATTGGGGCGTAGTATACGTTAGCGAATTGGGGCGTAGTACACGTAGGCGAATTGGGGCGTAGTATACGTAGGCGAATTGGGCCGTAGTATACGTAGGCGAATTGGGGCGTAGTATACGTAGGCGAATTGGGGCGTAGTATACGTAGGCGAATTGGGGCGTAGTATACGTAGGCGAATAGGGGCGTAGTATACGTAGGCGAATTGGGGCGTAGTATACGTAGGCGAATTGGGGCGTAGTATATGTAGGCGAATTGGGGCGTAGTATACGTAGGCGAATTGGGGCATAGTATACGTAGGCGAATTGGGGCGTAGTATATGTAGGCGAATTGGGGCGTAGTTAGGGTTGGGTACCGAAACTTGGTGCCAATAGGGAACGGTCCCGACGTAAACGGTAGTAACCAGACCGAATAAGAACGAAAATTTCGGTGCCTGATTTCGGTGCCTAACTTCATTAGACACACACGCACAAACACAAGGTCTCTCGCTCTCTCTCTCTCCGCCGTGCGTGTGCTACACAGTTTGGAGCACAGTCTCTTCTGTCTCGCAAGCGCGCTCTTTCTCGCAAGGTTTGGCTGCATTTCACGTTTAAAATTACGTGTCAGAACGCCCTCTGGGTGTGCCGATAGTCTGAATCCCATATAGAATCAAGCCAATTCATTGGCTGATGGCGCGGGCGCCGCATCGACGCACTTACGTCGTCATACTATGTTGGCGCGCGCGCGCCATCTGCTCCTCAGATTTCTTTGCCGAAAAAGGAAGCTGGTCGGCAGCGCGAGGAGCTTGGCAGCGTCTCGTTCCCTATTGAGAGATATGTTACACCAGTAACCAGAGATGTTCTCTTTCATAGGTTCACTCAACGCTGCGTAGCTAAGAAGCAGTGGATTTGTAGGCTGCTGTATCACGTGCCGTTTGAACTGACGCGCTACAGCGATCTGTCACATTTCAAAGAGCCAAAACGTTATTTATTGTGTGAATCTCGTAAAAATATTGACAGAATCTGACAGCTGTGGATTTGTTCCATATCAAAAGTAACCTTCTCTGTCTTGTCTGTCCGTGTCCTCTTTGTCCGCGATTTTTCTGTGTGAAAAGGGTCATTTGCGTGAGTCTCGCGGTCAATGCGTGAGAGTTGGCAGCTCTGCCTGCTAGTAATCTCTATTAATCTCCAGTATTATTACATTGTTTGATACAATATTGTTTCATTTGATATTATGTAAATATGAATTTTTATTTTATATTGGTTTTATTATTACCATATGTTACTTGTATTTATATTGTTTAAAGATTTAAGTTAATATTGTGTCCAGTTTGGCCCTGTAAATTAAAGGGTATTATTTTTTGATAAAGTGTGTGCGGTTTCATTTTCTTAAGTACCGATTTAAGAACCGTTTAAGCACCGGAACCGTTTAAAAAATACCGAGTAGGTACTGGAATCGGATAAAACCCAAACGATACCCAACCCTAGGCGTAGTATACGTAGGCGAATTGGGGCGTAGTATACGTAGGCGAATTGGGGCGTAGTATATGTAGGCGAATTGGGGCGTAGTATTCGTAGGCGAATTGGGGCGTAGTATATGTAGGCGAATTGGGGTGTAGTATACGTAGGCGAATAGGGGCGTAGTATACGTAGGCGAATTGGGGCGTAGTATATGTAGGCGAATTGGGGTGTAGTATACGTAGGCGAATAGGGGCGTAGTATACGTAGGCGAATTGGGGCGTAGTATACGTAGGCGAATTGGGGCGTAGTATATGTAGGCGAATTGGGGTGTAGTATACGTAGGCGAATAGGGGCGTAGTATACGTAGGCGAATTGGGGCGTAGTATACGTAGGCGAATTGGGGCGTAGTATATGTAGGCGAATTGGGGCCTAGTATACGTAGGCGAATTGGGGCGTAGTATACGTTGGCGAATTGGGGCGTAGTATACGTAGGCGAATTGGGGCGTAGTATACGTAGGCGAATTGGGGCGTAGTATACGTAGGCGAATTGGGGCGTAGTATACGTAGGTGAATTGGGGCGTAGTATACGTAGGCGAATTGGGGCGTAGTATACGTAGGCGAATTGGGGCGTAGTATACGTAGGCGAATAGGGGCGTAGTATATGTAGGCGAATTGGGGTGTAGTATACGTGGGTGAATTGGGGCGTAGTATACGTAGGCGAATTGGGGCGTAGTATACGTAGGCGAATTGGGGCGTAGTATACGTAGGCGAATTGGGCCGTAGTATACGTAGGCGAATTGGGCCGTAGTATACGTAGGCGAATTGGGGCGTAGTATACGTAGGCGAATTGGGGCGTAGTATACGTAGGCGAATAGGGGCGTAGTATATGTAGGCGAATTGGGGTGTAGTATACGTGGGTGAATTGGGGCGTAGTTTACGTAGGCGAATTGGGGCGTAGTATACGTAGGCGAATTGGGGCGTAGTATACGTAGGCGAATTGGGGTGTAGTATACGTGGGTGAATTGGGGCGTAGTATACGTAGGCGAATTGGGGCGTAGTATACGTAGGCGAATTGGGGCGTAGTATACGTAGGCGAATTGGGGCGTAGTATACGTAGGCGAATTGGGGCGTAGTATACGTGGGTGAATTGGGGCGTAGTATACGTGGGCGATATACATCGTATACGTATACATTTGTTGATGTGCAGTGTTCCACGGAAAACTCCACGGATGAATGATGGCATGATCTTACCCGGCGTCTCTCCTCGGCGGCCTCCAGCCTCCTCTGCAGTTCCCCCAGCGAAGGCTCCTTCTTTTGGGCCGGCAGCGCCAGCGCCTGGAGTCTCTCTGGAGGAGACGGGTCAGTCGGGCTCTTCATGATGACCTCAAACGCCTGGCCAGATGCTCGCTTATTCAGGGACTTCACCTCCATGTCTGCGGAGGGAAGATGAGCACAATGAATGCGTGATCATTGGTGCTCTTCAGAAATTTCTTACTTCATCGGAATGGTATGAAACTTGGTAAAGGTTTTGGCACTTGCTATGTGAACACACAAAGAAATCATTGACATTATTCAAAAAGGTTCAATGGTCCTGTAAAAAATAGTCACACTTGTGCTCCTCGCGGTCAAAAATGAAATGAATGGGAGACGAATTTCATCTAGTGGAAGCGTTTGGTACTGCAGCCGAACTAAATCTGATCTGAAGATCTGGTGATCAAAGATGAGTTTTAAGGGATAAAATGATTGACTACAGGGGGACTTTAAGTACATTAATTAAAGGGATAGTTCACCCAAAAATGAAAACTCTGTCAGTAATTACTCGCCCTCATGTTGTTCAACCCCGTAAGACTTTCGTTCATCTTGGGAACACAAATTAAGATATTTTTGAATAAATCTGAGAGCTGGATCACTCCTCCATAGGCTTCTATTGTAATTGAAACTTGCCGGCCCAGAAAGTTAGTAAAGACATCGTTAAAATAGTCCGAGTGACTACAGTGGCTCAACCTTAAGTTTATCAAGCGACGAGAATACTTTCTGTGCGCAAAAACACCAAAAATAACGATTGTACGTCAGAATGTAGGCTCACTACCAAACTAAATCTGAAATCAAATCTTATTTTTTGGAGATATCAAGCTTAAATTTGGAAAACAACTTGTTTGGATTTATGGCTTTGATTTTCTTGCAGTTTTAGAGTAAAATGTGTTTTTGAAAATATAGATTTCATATAAAAATTGAAAATAGTATTTTTGTGCATTTTTCATAACAATAAATGTAAAATTCCCTTTTCCCTTTTAAAGTCCCTGTAAAGTCAAAATTAAGTATGTGTTCTGAGGTTGTCACACCACAGAAAAATGTGTTATTAGTCACCCAGCCAAATTTGAATGATAAAAAAAGCCGGCAAGTACATAAAATAAGCTATAAAAATCTTGAAAAAATGCTCTCAAACGCTGGGGGCGTGTCCGCTGGCTGCGCTGAAACCACGCCCACTTGCGGGAAAGCTGCCGACGGTGATATTTGTGATACTGCTTTCGGGACGGGGAGATGAAGGCTGAGGCGGGAGATAGTCGGTTC